TTAGTTTTAACAGTTCCAACTTCTTTATTTCGTGACTCTACTCAATTCAATATTTATTAAATTCCGTTTACTTAAATTTAATTAATCACAGTGTGTCTGTGTTCGTCCTCATCAGGTTCACTTCCGGTAACTCGCAAAGATAATATTCCAAGAAGGGAGAGAATTCTAGAAATTACGAAAAGGAAATTTTTTGACAAGAGTCCATCACCGTTAAAGATTAGGTGAGTTGTTTCCTTTACTCTTCCAGATCAATTCATCGTAAAATATTAGACAAATAGTCTCCAGTAGTTGAATTACAACTGTAGGGTTTCCCTTACTGGAAATTATTTTTATTTAATAATTTGTGTACACGTATTTGTTTGTCTTTGAAATTTAAAATTCAAAACCGTTTCGTATACCGAGCAACTGTGCGTTATAATATTCTCCTCGCGATAATCCCTGTTAAATTTCTTTCTTCTCATTATATTAGTACATGTCTTTTTATATTCATTCGATCGTTTATATCCTGAGCTATTAAGTTGTACACATTTTTAAAATTTATACTATCATTATATTATCTTACCACAGTTATTGTATGTAAATTCCTATTATAATTCAATATATATTACTCTGTTTCTAAATTCAAACCATTTACTTTCTTTTACATTACCTAGTATTTAGCCTCCCTAAATTCCCAACAGGGCGATGTGGTGAAAGGGCCCGTATGGGACTAAAGTATCGACGAACCCAAAAACAACATAAAAACCTTAATTGATCTTGTTCTAGATTTTATTGATCACAAGTGATTAAGGATATTTATTCGTTGCTTGTTGCGGGTAAATTCTAACAAATTTTATTCTAGCGAGTCGCACGCGTGTTTCGCTCTGTAACTAAACAGACACATCACGTTACCGAAATTCACATTAATTCAATTCCTGCGTTTCTGTATTGTATTATTCTACCAAAAGCATAGTAGTCGCAATTACGCATATAGGTACATGCGCGCGCCTCACACGTAACAATGACAACGTATTTATTACACTGCAGAAAAATTAAATATACAACAAAAAGAAGAAACTAAAAAGGAAAAGAACGACAGAAAAAGTACAAAAAAAACTTAACACATCACAACTGTGGTGTAAAGTTATAGCTCACTCTAATTGTACTTAAGCCTAACTTATACATATACAATGCTGGGTATCCCACCTAAGACAAAACACCTAAATACTAAATACTACTTTATTTTTAATGAAATGAGAAATGTTTCCAACACAGTCTGAATGATTTCAGAAGGGGAATATATTCTTTTGCCAGGCAGCAAGTAGGTACTCTTCTTTATTGCAGCATGTAGTATGTTTTAAGGTGCATTCAAATATGTCTAAATTATGACCTTGAGGTGAACTTGAACATTGAAAACATAATGTACCTACCTATATTACATTACTTCTTAAATTCCGAAAAATTGACCAGTAGGTATTACATTATTTCTTAAATTCAGAATGTATCTTCTTCAGTGAATAAAATGTTCGATGTAAGAAAGTGCAAAAAAGAACGAATGTGAATGAGATACCAATACCCAGCACGAGAACGCGGTCTTCAGTCGGCAGCTTATAATATACTTTACTATTATCATTTTTGTGATGAAATAAACTGAGTTACTCAATACGTATTAATCAAGAAATATGGTCCAAATTATGTCATGTTTGGTCTAATTTAAATCGAAAGAATCTCATCAACATGTTATAAAACTACTTGCTGATATCTCAGAAACTGTTCACTTTAGACCCTATAGGACATTACACTTTTTTATACAATATTTGATACTTTATCAAAATTCGGGAAGAAATACCGGACATTCTATTTAAAAAAGTGATGATAGTTGTTATATCTTGATAAAAATGTAACATGGTAAAAAAAATATTATTGCATTATATGTCCCTCTTGGTAAAATGCAACCTTTGACTGTTTCGTACAGCCAATAATTTATGAGTAATTGAGGGGGTCACATTAGGTGAATCACCCTGTATATAGTTCGAAACGATTGCTTTTTCGTGGTTAAACATTTTGTTAAATAAAATCTGTATAGAAAGTGCGGTTCGCCATCGAAGAAAGAACTCCATTCGTTGAATGGCCGATTCCAAAACGGTTAAACAAAATCCAACTGAAAGGTTTGTTCAACGATATTGAGAAGTAAAAGTAAGAGGCTGAGTCACGATACATGGAAAAATGAAAATGAAATACAGACAGGTAATAGCACGTCGGCGAGAGGAACGTTAATTATAATAATGTATTGCAAAAATGAGAAGTTGTTGCGGCTACAACTGTTAACGAAGTATCAGATGAAATAGGAGAAATTTTCTATATCTCATTTTCAGGAGGCAACGTTTCTATATCTCATTTTTAACAATTCAAATTGACCCGGAAGGAACTGTTAATAAATGAAGCTATAGTGTTTTTTACTTTTAAGTACTAACAAAGAAACGTGTACGTTATGTAGTTATATATAATAAAATCATACTATTATTAAAAGTATTACATAGCTATGAAAAACATATAAAGCAATTTCAATAGAAGGTCAGCACTTCAATCCTAAAGAAAGTTTAGTTCATAATCCAACATATACCTACGTCAACTATACATATGTGTATATGCATACTCATGTTCCGTATATATTGAAACAAAAAATTAATAATATCATATCATGTTTGTACATCACAATTTATATTAATATATGTATTAATTATTTATTCTATTTACATAATACCTATACACAATAATAACGAATAAAATATATACATAATATACAATATACGTATGTGCATAAATATATACAAATAAAAATATTATCATATTTGTAATACTTTGTCCTTACAATGTTAATAAAAGGTTTCGTTAAGTACATAACATTTTCCACAGCTAGTTCTTAAAACATACAACATTTTTATGGAATTGATAGTCTTCACTGATCAGATATATTACAAATTTAAAAATTACAGTAATAAAAGAAATCAGGAAATGTTCCCTTTGCGATCAGATTTCAAAATACATAGCGAGAATCGGTTGCATTGTGATCGTAAATTTATTTTTTTCGATTCTATTACTTGCCTTCTCCTTATTATTAAAAGCCACTCCACCATTATGTGCAACCAAATGAAATTAAAAATACATAGAAATACTGCTGAACTATTTAAGGTATGTAAGTGCTGGCTAATACTAAAGAATAGAATAAAAAGAATCATAAAATTGTAAATATAGACCGTGGCGATCTAAGAGGTATATGTATATTACATTGTTCCGCGAAAGATATTCGCGCGGAGCGTGTGTCGAACTCGAGCAGAAGGTAATAATAGAATAATTACGATTAACGACGTGACCTCAAATTGGCAATGTCGAAATTTCTTCTTGCTAATTCTAACGCGGAACTGCAAGGACTATTGTACAACTATTTTATAAGTTCTAGCCAATGCTTAGTTACCATCCGACTCAATTACCCTCGTGTTACGTGAGATCCTGGAGAACACGTTAGGTTTGTTCCGGTTCAATATAAAACTCTATTGGCAAATTCGTTTTTCCAGATGAAATAAAAGATTTCATTGCACGGGGATGCTGACGTTAACGCGAAACACTTTTCATATTGCTCCAAGACTAACTATTCGTCAGTGTTGCAATTCACGAGCTTACACAAGCACAATATCATCGGATTTCCGTGTAAACGTCAGAGGCGTAATCGTATAGTTTATAAGCATATGATCTGACAATATCATAGGAAAAGGCACACCTGCTGGTTTCGCAATGGCGGACAATGCCTGGGAAAATCTCTTGAGTCGTAAGAATATCATAATCAGTAACTCTATAATATATGAAATGACAGTAATCAGACGAATGTTTCGATTTTATTATACATAGAAATGGAATCATTAACAGATAGCGTATCGTTCATGCAAATTTGCAGTTACAGACACTGAAACACTGAAACAAAAAAAAATTCAATTTTACAACATATTATATTCGTATTAAGAATTTTATTTTAATATATTAATAATAATATGACACTAATAAATAAGAATGAAAATTGGTAGGATACAATAAAATCGATAACGATAATGCATCGATGGTGTTTTTAGGACAGTGGGAATTCTTTGATCGATGCTTGATATGTATCATGACGCTTGACGGTTGAACCATCTTATTGTGTATAAACAGGAAAGTAGTGTTTTATACAATAGGTAGAAAAGAATAATAATAGTACATCGCATAATGGTTGAAATTGGTTGAGATAATAAGTTCTTCATTTTTTGTATTCCTCCTACATAGTGTCGACCCTTTATCTACATTTTTGTCAAATTTCATAAACATCGGCGTTGGATGATATTATTACATTCTCCTTGCGAAAGATATCACTTACCTCGAACTGGTTAAATACAGTCACATGATTCTCCGCTTATAATATTGTAAAGAATATCGAAACAAATTAAATAGAATGCAAAAAGAAATTTACTTAGTTTCCTTAAATAGTAATTATTTCCTTAAACACACAGACGTTATAATAACTGACAACATAGTCAAGTTACTCAAGTAAAAAATAGTTTTCATAGCGTGTTCTTAAAGAATTTTGTATTAAACATAAATGAAAATAGTGCTCCCAGCACTTATTACATTTATCATCATATTTTTTTAACATCACGAAAAGAAGACAAATGTACTTCAAAAGTTTACAATGAACCTGATCATTTAGTAATGGAATATGGTTTCTATAACAAAAGTTTGGTTCTACTTTTTACTTAGATCAAGCTAAAGTATGTTAAAAGTTATACTGACTACTAAAGATACATGTATAATGCCTAAAATAAATATTATATAAATAATAAAAATAAAAAATAACATATATGAAGAAATAAACACTATATGCTTTGAATGATACATAATATGTAAAACATTAATAATTGAAAAACAATCATGAAAAAGCAAAGTCTTATTCTCAGAATTTAAGTATCAGTCCTCCGTTTTGCAGTACTGACACAATGCGACAGAACTACGAACCTTTTGTGCACGAAGGAAACTCTATTCATAGGATAATTCTCAAGCTGGTAAGTAAGGACTCCGATACAGTCGGTACAGTAATATCTGCAATCGTAAACGATGTTTTGCGCATTGATTTTAAGAGATCTTCTGTGGTTATGAAGCGAAAAAAGCGATTGTTTTTTAATTACACAGCGAAAAGCGTATGCATTCACGATAGTTTTTGTATTTAATAAAGGCACATTTAAAGAATATTTTGTTAAATTTTCATACAAAAATATATTTTTTTATGGTGGATTATGATAGTGGTCACTAACTTTGAAAAAAAAACGTGTTTAAAGATTGAAAATTCAATTTACATGTATAACAAATGTCTTTTTAACTTACACAGAGTCATCTATTCTAGGTCTATTATAGTAGACCTTCTGTTGTATTGACCGCTTCCAAAATGTCAATTTGATGCTTGCGAATTTTTTAAAATATCTAACCACAAATGACTCCTTAAGCTTTCATGTATTTAATTTCATCATAACACAAAAGAATACAAATTTACACTATAAAGACATATTATTTTTAATTAAATAATGTTATAATCATTAGAATAATAGAAGTTATACACTTATCGCCTATTACAATACAATCGAACTATTATTTAAACAAATAATTCTGTAAGTATCGCGTCATCTAACTTATTTGTAAAATATGATCCTACTGTATAATTTTATGTCAAATGGTTTTCATCGTGTGATTATCCAAATGGATGCTTGTTTTATACCCACACGACCGTGTCTTATAAATCAGTTTCCGAGAAAATGGTAACTCTAATTATCGTTACAGTACTACTCATTTATCTTTCTTACTGTCACTCTTACGGCGATAATACGACTTATTGCAAATGTACATAGAAACAGATGAGAGGTCCTCAAAATATTCACGGATCTTAAAATAAAATTATTATTCTGATTAAACTAATATAAGATGAGCTTTCAAACAATATTTTTAATTTTTTAACCGAATACCACTAGTACTTCATTACAATTAAATACCATTAATTATTATATTAATTGAAGGTTAAACATCAATTTCATTGATAAGTAATTCATTTTTTTTTATTTCTCCGTTATTTAAATAAATTACACAAAATGACATTATCACTAATTTGTGAAGCACCCGAAGCAAAAGAATTGCGAAAACACACAGTGAAAAAATGTAAGCGTATCAACAATTTAAATAAAATTACAAAAAAAACTGTAATGACGAAGAAACTGTCTGAAAAGTGTTAGTACAAGTTACCAGTAAGAAAGTTGAGTAGTAGTCGCAAGGCGTGGTGGAAGATCAGAGTGCAATCTGCATTATTCTGTAGCCGTGGCGCGCGGGCGGACATCAAGGCCTCTTCAGGTCAACCTGATCCAATCTGCCGTATAAAACGCCCCTCTCGACGATCCTTCGAGCACTGTTGTACCTCTCGTCGCCCAGTTGTCGTTATTTCTCTATTATGGGTGCCATATTCGTAAGTAGTCGCTTTCAGTTTTATTCAGCCCACTTCACAATCCGTTGTTCTACCCAATGATCGATCGCTTCGTCGCGGCATCTGCAACGTCCGTTTCTTTTGTGGTTCGATAAATTTTCTAGGACTTTCAACTCGATCTAAGAATGTTTACATTTTACAATATTCTTATTGGTATAGTGAACAATCACGTAGCTTAACTTGAATTTCTGTTTAACATGCTTTCCAATTTTGATCCTGTTATTCTTACACCATATTAGGCTGTATTTACCCACAAATTATTAGAAGACTTTTTATGTACATTTTTATTTTAAAAACACCCTGAAATCTCTATTTTTGAGACATTTTGACATACTGAATACTAAATCAATGTAACATAATTTTTTAGAGATTACTCCACATTTTTTATATAATTCACATTGTTCTGACACACAGATTGTATGATTTTGGAGTTTGTGCACTTGAATAAATAATAGAGCAAATAGTTGGTGAATCTACTAATAATTTAAAATATTTTGTTATATCCACAAAAATAGCACCTTTCTTCACATATTAAATTACTTTATTTATTACTTTATATATTAAATATATTAAACAACAATGTTTTTATTTCTATCCGAAAATATGGAATAAATCTTCAGCTTCAACTATCTTAAACTACAAAAGTGACGGTATAAGGAATTTCAAACAAATGTCAATATTTTCAGATATTCCTCTTCTATACGATCGCACTGGTATTGTGCCAAACATCAAATGGGCAGTATCAGTCGCCTCATCAGGCAGCAATTTTGAGTGATGCGCGATACCTAGCTGGTGATGGAACGTTCGGAGCCGCATATTCGCAAGAAGATGGCGTCGAATTCAAGGAGGAAAGCGACGTATACGGAAATCGTCGTGGATCCTACTCGTACGTTGATCCAACTGGTCAAAGACGCACGGTGACATATACAGCTGGAAAAAATGGTTTCCAGGTACGTCAAAGTATATTTTAATCCAAATTTAAGGTTTCGTTAAATTTTACTTTCGTTTTCTTACGTTATACATGTATAAAAAGTAATTAAAGTCGTCGAAAAATAAATAAGTTTCGTTCTCTCCTTATTTGAATCAATATTAAATTTCGATATCTCAAATTATTCTATTCATATTCACAATTGTCACATACTATTACAATCAACATTAACTTAAGTAAGTGTTCACTTTGAATATTTTCCAATTTCCACAAATGAATGTTCATGTCGCCTATCAGTACATGGAATGCAATTGTCTCTTATAATTGCAACACGAACTTTCGTAATTGTGACTTCGCAAGCAATCCTAACAGCATGACGTTGCCCACTGACTATCTTTATGATTATTCAAAGGCTAATTAGATCTTTTAATTAATATAAACCGGTGTTTTAACTTTAAATCGGAAAAATAATATTAGGAATTGGATCTTTAATAGTGTTTTACGTGGTGCATACCAAACATATTAATACAATAGTAATACAAAATTAGTGATGCCTGTAATAAACATGCTGTTCACATAAATCAATGCATATCTTTTTGAAATTGGGCTCTACTATTATTATTAGCTAAATAATAATGTCAAAGATGTCGATTTAGGTAATATACCACACGAGACCGATGAAAAATTGACGAACGAAATGAAACACGTACGAACTCAAGAATTATTGAAGATATTTGGAGTAACTGATTGTGTACTATCATAGGTAACATTGTTATCCAAAAATCAGTCTCAACACTTTCATAGCGCACCGTGTTCACTACTACGATAAAATGTAGGTTTATTAAACCATAAGAATAAGGAAAAATAATTTCAATCACCAAAATACAGTAAGCTGTTGCATCCCCCTAGTAAACAAACATAAACAGACTAAAGCTGAGTAATATATTTTAGAGCAACCTGATTAACCTTCGCAATACATATCAAGCCTTTTTTTATCAGATAATTATTAGGGGGATGGAGTTTATTTTATGCTCACCTAATAGAAACCTATAATGTCTTACACAAACTTTATGTTTTGAATACACTTAGGAATAAAACGTTTAAAATAAAGTATTCTATTAAAATTTTTTTAATTTCCTGCGAATAAACAGCATTATAAGTACTTTTTTAAAAATATAGAATTTGTTTCAAGATAAGCCTTGTGCGAATTCAATCACTTTCACTTTGACAATCATCACAATCCTGTCATACAGGGTGTTTCCAACCCGAAAGGATGTGATTCAACGTGAAAAAATATGTTAAAAATCTAGAATAACGGTTTCTCGTACAATGTTTCGTTTTCGTGAAAATCGAATTCGAATATCTGCTGGATATGCGTGCAATTGAATAGGTCTTGCCTAACGCGTCTGCTTATTGCGTTCTGTTTCTACTTATTGTCCCATAAATATGCTACATACGCGTTGAATAAATTCTAAAAAATGATTATCTTGGAAACCAAGCATCGTACGAAAAAATGTTATTCTACATTTTCGACTTATCTCTACATTTAGAATCACATCCTTTTAGGTTGTATCACTATTTCGAAAACACCCTGTATAACAGTTCCTTTACTGTTTCCCACATACATATCTGTTACCGGAACCATATACAGGGTGTAACAAAAATGTTCTCCGACCCGGAAATGGAGCACTCAGGGGGTGAATTGGAACAAGTTTTTCCTTAGCAACAATGTAATCTGAGGCTTCGTTACCGAGATATTAACGAAAAACCGCGACCAATCACAGCGCGAGTTTTTCGTTAATATCTCGGTAACGAAGCCACAGATTACATTGTTGCTAATGAAAAACTTGTTCCAATTCATCCCCCAAGTGCCCTATTTCCGGGTCGGACAACATTTTTGTTACACCCTATATAATTATTCTCTTGATTAGTGTATTGCATTTTTCACGTTTGCTACGGCCTTCCTTTACGCAATTGAGACTATTTTGATTATTTTTCAAACTTTTCTCAAATTTCCAGGAAACAATATTTAAATTCTTGTATAAAATTCTCGTAATAATTGTACATAATATCTGATTTTCTCAGAATTTTTAAGTAATTATTTTAGAGGAAATTCCTAAAATAGTAATATAGTGGACATAAAGTATTCCCTCCCTGGTATATAAAAAGTTAATAATTATACCAGCAATAATTTACAAATAATTCTCATTCGTTACATTTTGTCAATGTTACAGGCAAGTGGCGACGGTATTCCCGTTCCACCTCCGCAAGTGCCGCCCAAACCCGAATACGTGCCCCTGCCACAATACAACCCACCGGATTATCAACCATCGAGGTACAATCCACCTCCACAACAACAACCGTATCAACGACCGAGTCAACCGGTGTACGAGTCGCAGCAAGAGCCTCAACCTGTATACCAGCCAGAGCCGCAGTATCCGTACAGGCCTCAGCCACCACATGAAATCCCACCCATACCTTCGTACAACCCACGGCCGCAGTATCAACCCCCGGCCAGGCCGTTGCCCCAATACAACGAAATTACAACGCCATCCCCGCGAAGATTCTATCCACCGGGTAAGCTGAGCTTCAACAGGACACCCGATGGTTACTCCTACACGTTCAGTAAAAGCTAAGTCCTCTTCAACGGGATCTGAAACGATATTTAACACGTTCAGTACTACGCTGCATGGCATACCTCTGAAAATCACCCTAAAAATTAAAATCCTTATGTATTGTAGTTGAACTACACACGAACCACTTTTTTCTGGAGAATCTAATCTATCCTTTTCTGAAGAAACATTATTTCTGAACACGATTGCAGACATGGCATAGTTGGTCCGTTTTGTATTTTAACCACAGTACCACAGACGAGGTATAGGAGTAGACACTTCATCCAATGTATTGTTTCGCCCCACTTTTTTGGGGCGACGTCGCCCCATTTCCATTTTAGTGTCGCTACCTATTCACCGGTCTTTTAACGTAGAGGTCACTACAATCACAGGCTTATTAAGGTGTCGATACTACACTTTAGGTGGGCCACCAACTCCCATGAGATGAAATGTTTACTCCTATACCTCGTCTGTGACAGTACATAAGAATCAAACATTTTAGGCTGGGTTTATAACATAGACATACATATATGTATAAGCATTATCTGCAACATATTGAAGTTCTCATATACATCGATTGAGAAAAGTCTGTGAATTTATACTTTTATTTTTCTCTTTGCTCAAAGTGTAATACTAAATAAATTAAAGAATTTTGATTTGAAATTTATTAAAAATGCCGTGCTTCTACATAATATTAATTGGAAATATAATATCATTCAATTTCAACTCATCTAAAATCTGTTAAGTTAAAAATGTCATTAGCCAGTAGGAATGAGGTATACAATTTGAACAGTTTCTCGTATTTATAAATTATAGACGCGGAAATAGTAGAACATTGATTTGCATACGCGATCATGCATTCATAATCAAGAGATTGTAGGCAATCAGAGCCTTGTCCATGATCTTACCACAAGGCTTACCGGCATGAACAAGTCATGCTTCCTATAAAAGACTACAGAAATTTTGCAGAAATTTCTAAGGAAATGTAACCAGTGAATTAAATTAACGAGTGAGTTATCTCAATTAAAAGCAATTCTTTCGTTTATATTTTCGCCGATTCTATACATTGAGTCACGCAAAGATTGGCATTATTACGATACATTACCCTTACTGGAAAGTCTTGTTGATCTATAGAATGAATCTTCTTTCCCCTCGTCAGATTCTGTTGATATCAACCTGAATGCGGAAATATCAGTTTAATAGTGACTGCGTTCCAGAATGATTGAATTACTATGTTTTTTAAACAAATACAACATATATCGTTTACATATTATATTATAGCTGTACCCGTTTTATAATTTTGTTTTCTGCTTCAAAGTAGAAGCTCCCCTCTGACATATGTATATCCTATACAAAATTTTAGTAAGTATTAGTATGTTGCAATTATTGTTTATTGTATTGTTTTGTTCTAAAACTGCAGTAGCAAAGCTGAACTTCAACCCCTGACATTTTTAGTACGTGTTCGATAAAAAATAATTAAATTCTTTAATCACAGTGGCTAATGACAATAACCAATTAAATAATTTTACTATCTTCAACCGTTTAAACAAAAGATATACAACAGATTTTTTACCATAAAACAGATACTGATGATTGATTCATTAATTTTATGCATGTTTTCTTCTAAAACCAATGAAATTCTTAGGTAATATTCAAAATAAATATTATTCCAAATCAAGTTAAATAAATTTGTAAATCTATATAAAACTGATGAAGTAGAAAGCTGATAAAAATTCCTGATAGATGTGACGTATCGTAGTAGAATAAAAAATATTAAGAAACTAAGCATTCGATATTTGACGAATGCCGATCAATCGGTTTCTCTACGTCGCATTACCTGGCCGACGCCCTGCGTTTTGCATAGCAATTTCCTTTTCAAATGCGAGCACAATCCCGCGCACTTCGGGGTCACGATACTTTCATCGAGCAACCTTTCGCCGTTCTCCGCAGTATTGCAATAAGCTCATAAGAATCTCACGATTCTCAAGGGAAGATACATGGTTCTTTAGGACGAGTCCATATCCTTTAACGATTAAATGTCATGCAAATAAATTGCAATATATTTGAAACCATTTTAGCCTCCAAAATAAGAATTACGTTCATTTATACGAAATAACATTATTTCTGTAATTCAATAGTATTTATACGTATGTTTTAAAGTAAGCGCATCTTCTTAATACTTATATTTTCAATTACAATATGCTGATTTTTCAATTTGATGTACATTTCAATGATGTTTATTGTTTATGACCACAATTTGAACAGCAATCATTGTACTATATACCCATACCATTGTATTATACTATAGTAACACGAAGATCCACAGATCTCACTTTTATTTTAATTCTTATTTGTATAATATTCTTCCTACTATGTATTACCTTTAGAATATTTATAGAATTGTATTGTTATTGACACAGTGAACATGAATTGTATCTAAAGTATTGAAACTACATACAACACAAGGAATTTGTTATTTATTACCATTTGTTCTAATTTTATAGGTTTCTTCTTGGCAGTTAAAACGTTCCACTTATTGAATCACGTACTGTTATATTTTGTGACGATATCAGCCAATGTACACACGATTAAAAATACATAAATCAGTATTGATTTTCGTACTAAAATAAACACAGTACACAAAATTAACTGCTCCTGTTTTATAAATTTTATAAGTTTCATTGTAATACCCAAATCATTTTTAGAAACACCTTAAGTTATTGTCTTCAAACAGGAACAAGTAGATCATGAATTTCATGAAAAAAGAAATTTATGTTCGACACTGGTTTTGTTAATTATTTTAGTAGGTTACAGGTGAAATAAAAACTTTCTGAAACATTATCAATGTTTTCACAATACTGCATTCCGCACATTCTGTAAATGCATAAAATCCAGTCTAGTAATGACAACTAGAAAGAAATGAGAATTCTGTATCATAATTAATCACAGCTCATGTCTTAAAGGTACACTGCTGCGCATAAGAAAAAGTGATGTATCGAAAAATTATATATTTTAATGCCACTTTTATTAATTTACAGTAGCAAATATTTGTCCATCGAGCTTTAATATTCCCTGAACGATATTTATTCCAGACTTTCAGCAATTTCATAATTCCTTCAAACATTTATTCCATATTCGATAAGTGTCCTAATACTTATGAATGAAAATGTACGTAAATATCCTTTTCAATACTACTATTTACTTATTATTAAAAACATTTTCTCAAAGGTGAATCTCAATTTAGAAAACTCTATTCTGAACATCGATCGTCTAGACACCAAATAACTCAAGTTCTCATTGTATCAACAGTCACGAGCTACACGTTTCAGTCAGCGTTGTTCAGACCGAAACGGAAGGCGAACGTTAGACAAAGGGTCGATTATCTCATTATCCTGGCTTGTGGATAATACTGGTGCAACAGAACCGAGGAGGGAAAAATGCAGTTCGGCTGGGCGTCGATTTACTGGTACCCGTTAATACGGGCGCGGCAAGGCGAACCAGCCATATCTGACCAGGAACTCGATAACCTTAAAGGTGGGCCGAAAGAAATGCATACCGTAACGTTTCGCGTCACCGTCGCTGTCGTTTAAGAAAGTCGATCGTGGATTTAATTTATGGTCAAACGGGTGCAGCACATACCAGATGCAACACGGTTGCACTGACTGCATATTTGTCGAGCTGCTGTCCACCATCCGTGTTACGCAGGGTCCATGGGTCACATTTGATTCGAATATGTGGACCGTTTTTTTTTCTTAGGTAATATAAGTTCAATTTTGAAAAAAATTAGTTAAAGCTAGTTTTAGCTACAGATGGATGCCTTCTTTTCATATCTATATTAACAAAATCAATATACTGCAATATTTTCATGAATTATGAGAAACTCGGATATTAAATGGAATTGCATAAATATTTTTTTGTACTGGTATTAATCCATATATAACAATGACTATTTATTTAACATGTCCCATTTATTTCTACAGAGCAAAGTGAATAAAATATGAATAAAACTTATTAATGCTCTTTTATTAAACTTAGTACAAGAGAATTCTCAAAAATCTATGTCAAATGAATATATTAATACACATCATATATTTATGATAATATATTTCCCTTCAATGATATACGTTTATTGTTTTTGATATAATTATTATAATTTATATTTTAAAATTTCATTTCATAAAAGTTTACTTCAATTGAAATACAAATTTAAATTTGGTATTAGTCACATTTTTGATAATTTATTACTTTTGAAAGTGGTATAAGTCCACTTGCAGTTAACAAAAACACTGTTTCATTGACAGAATATTTGTAAACATGCACATATAGTGATGTTAATCGTGTCTGAAATCTTAAAAGCATAAAATAAAATTATTCGCGTTTAACAATGTTTTTAAATAGAGTAAAATGAAATACATTTAATATTTTGAAATAAAGAAAGATGAACTTATACCACTTTAAAAAAGAAACGGTTCATCTACATTTTTGACAGAAATAAGCTCCATAATGGCAGTTTCCTTTCGAGTATTTCACAATTCTGAACATTTTCATAATATTGACATAATCGGAGACTTGAAATCATAAGAATATTCAGAACGTATCTTAACAAATTGTACAATATAATTCTTTTATCTCATTCTATGAGAATACAATTAGTTTTTCAAGATTGAACTACATGTCATGGTTAATTTATTTCATGTGAACAATTGAGGAGAATTATGTCGATCAATGTAATTAATAGACTGCGGATTTTATGGATTTATACTAATTTATAGCATACGTGATTGTCTCAAACTCAGTATAGTGTAAAGTTTCATCAAGTGTAGTAAGGTTTTAGTCAATTTAGATCTCGATAAAAGCCTTAATGTACCAAACAAATTTTTGTCCGATTCTAGCCTCTATTAGTTAGTCCATGAGAATTTATATTTGCATAAATATCCGCAACCATTAACGCTTAACATTTTATACTTCTACATCTCACTTGTCGACATACTAATTAGTATATTTCAAATGGGAATAAGATATATCAAATGAATATTTTACCTTTATAAAAGTGATACAATATCTATTGCTGGAAAAGATAAGGAGCATGCTTTATCAAAAGTTCTAAGAAACAATAACGTTATTCATAGACGTCTTGTACCAATCTGTATGTACATATGTTAATTATAAAGTATATAATACTTTATAAGTATAAATACATATAATAAGAATATGAAGTTAAACGAAAACTAAACTTTTAATGTATATGATCGTTAGTTATTTACGAGCCCAATAATCCATAAATTCAAGCTTATCCTTACCAACTAACGAAGTATAATTGTAATTCCTACGACATACCAATAAACCATAAGAAAATCCATTACTAAACTTGCATTACGACTACATATCGTTTGTTTTATAACCAACAACCTGGGAATCTAAGAGTTCAAGGTTCTACTTTTCCAGTCGAGTTTTATTTATAAAGGTATATGGGTATACATTTCGTTTCATGATTATGGCAGTAATATACTGACTCTGAGTAGCTGCGTGTGACATCAACAGTATAAAAGTAGTCTAAAACAGCTGCTGCTATTAGAGGCAGTGGCGTCGACCATTCACTCCTCGCAATAAAACAGACGTAAAAAAAAAGGAGAAGAAAGAAACGAGAAAGGAAAACCGTCGAAGACAAACCTCTCGTCGTTGCCAATACTATAACTTATAATTATCGAAAAACATTTTCTTATGCCAATGTGCCTCCTTAAACACGTTCAATTTGAAATGATGGAAGCGAAGTCAGACAAGTCCCGGAGAAAAGGCACTATACGTCTATTAAATATAGTATTCAACTCTCGATTGTACAAAGTACTACAAATCATTACGCCTTGTATCCTCGGTGTCTCGTTTCTTTCATAGGAGAATTCCCTTTAAAAGAGAAGGAAAATTTCAGATCTCTGACAGATATATCTATATCTCTGGAGGCTCATTACAAAATTTATAGTCCTCACCCGGGCAGTTATAATTTTCTCGATTTAACGTGCTCAGTTCCTGGTGCTCCTTCCTAGTGATAAAAAAAAGTAATTTAGATCAGCCGCAAATCAACTTTAATTACACCTCCGTGTTAGATGGAATTTAATTGCATCTTCGCGTTAACTATCGCTGATTTATGATCTGATGCGATAGATGGACATTAAAAAGTGAAAATTCGCATTTACAGCGTGTGGTAGTAAAGGCTACGAAAAGTATTGTGCAAGTGGAAATAAGTTCTGATTCGATCATGCGTAAAACAAAAAATTTTTTTTTCTAAATCATTATTTCTACTTGTATTTACGTTTCCAGATACTGGAGATGGTATTACATATGTTAAATGTATCCAACTACACTAATTAAAATATATAAATAATACTTTTGAGCTATTAAAGAAAATAAAATTGAAGATTAGGAAGGAAAGAATTACATACGTAGCATTCAATGTTAATAACATTTTCGATGAATGTATAATTTGTGCAATCCTTTGAAGGATTTAATGTATTCAGTATCCTATTAAACAATAATTAATTTGTATTTTTAATCTTCGAAATATTTCGAGCATTACATTTTCGTCATAATATTTGGAACACATCGGTAATAACGAAAAGAAATATTCGAAAATTGTGATTATTCAAGCGTCTGGACGACAAAACTTAGAAAAAGAATAGAAATATAAAAATCTGTTACAATATTGCTTAACTAATCCATTGTTAAGTTTCAGAATATAGTCCCACGCAAACATACCGAAGATGGACTTTTCCCAAAAACGATGTCAAATATCCTTTAATTTTATTCTCTCGCAAGGAATCTTCTGTTCGCGAAATTTTTTAACAAATTACGACCCACTTGGTATATATCGTTAAGCTACATAATAAATCTCCCGTGACGATAGAAACAATTGCTCGCTGTGTAGTGTAGACCTCGAGGTGTATGTTACTCTAAATACGTACAATTACGTAAAAAAGGTTTCCGTAACTGTATAAGAAAGGCCGGAATTTTCATTTTATTTTCTTCTTTCTCTTCCCTTTCTTCACAGATCACGCTAATTAAACCTCCATAAACAGTTACCACCTCGCCATGCGAGCACTCGAACGCTTTTCTTTTCAGATGAACTCGCGAAGATTTCTCTTTTCCATTTCTTTTTCCTTTGCCTCCCCTCCTCCTCCTTTCCTTTTCGTAACAACCGCAACTATTGTCGATTAAATTCTATATTGCACTAACTATAATTATATAAAATATATATGTCTAACGGTAGGCTTAGCTTTTGAAGTATACCTTTTTAGGCACAGTTATCCCGGAAACAGTTTGAATCGAACAAAAGCCGGAAGTGGGTGGTACGTGAAGCAGGAGGCACGGCAGTTCTGTAACAGTCGGTCTCGCGCTGGCTAATTCAAACTTCTAGTCTAAAGATGAAAAGGAAGCGCCGTAAAAGCGTGTTTCTATGAAGTCACTCGGAAGAGGCAGTTTTGTTCACAATGCGGTGTGTCGGTCGTGAAACATTTGATAAACCAAGAAAAATCATTCGGCGGCATCGCAAGTAATCATTTTCACGTTCGAACGAATATAAAAAGTAATGTACAATTATTGTCCCCTAAAATTTAATTAACATTCGAGAAAAACAAGAGAATTGTAACATATTTCTGTACGAATTGTGTTATTTTTTTTTCATCGAATCTACAATAACTAGGAAAGTGTTTGAAAATTATTCGAAATTTTGTAAATATACAAATATTTCTCAAGATTTTCTTTTCTTTTTAGTATCTGTGAAAAGATAAACCGTGTATCGTTCTTGAAGTACAAATCGAATCTTACTCTTTCCTGGTTAAGTACATATGGATACTTCAGGTACCAAAAACGATGGTATCAATAAACAAGATTTTCCGTACTGCAATGAAACAAAACAGTAATTTAAAAAAAAAGAAAACATCTAATCGCCATAAACTGATTCGGAATATAAACATCTGCGCTGCATGCATCGGTAATATTGTCAACACTTACGTTGTACCACTGTAAAAATTACAGGTTTGGTACTATAAACTGATAATGCGGCTAACAATACGTTGCCCTCAAAGAAACATCAAGTTTCAATTAATGAAATTAAATCGAGAGAGGAAAAAATCACATGATCGAAATATATTCTTAGCTTTATGACGATTTATATGGAGGTGGTATAATCATCCAATAATAAATGATTTTAACAATATGGAATAGTCGTATACTTCTATTTTAAACGAACGTCTTATCCAAATAGCATTCTCCGTAAATAGTTTCCTACAACGTAATAATCGTTTCAGCATCATTTGAACAAAGAAAAACACCTACTTCGAGACAGTGCATTCTCCAGATCTTGGAACGTATAGGTGAAAAACATAATAGTGTGATAGCATTGAGAACAAACCTGTACATCGAATAGCGATTACTGCTAATGGTTAAAAATGGCGGGAAGCTAGCTATGTAGGAACGTATACTATTAAGTATAATTATATTTAAATACTGACGCAATAGTGGAGTCTGTTACCATAAATTATTATCGCGTCAGTACCTAAACATTTCACGAATAACGTATGTCCTTAATTCATATACATGTATACGGGATACACAGTAGTACTTCCACGATTACTCGAGTTTCTTATTTTCCTGATATGTTGCATAATGCAAAAAATATTATCCTCTGTTCCGTTCTAAAGGCGGTGTGCAAGCATTTATTGATTCGCTGGCAGCGGTCAAAGGTGCGAAGGGGGCCAGTATCGAAAAAGGAAAAGGAAATATTTCTCGACAGCTTTCCAATGATCAACCATTCTACCGATATTCTGTACACGAACATACTACTGTGCACCTCTTCTTAATAAATCAGTACATATTCATTACAATCACAATATGCATGACGTTCTATGCAAAAAGTTCTGGTCGAAATGGAGTGGAGAACTTGTACTATGGTAAGACACGAATCGATGGTACATATTGACAAGGAGGATAATTCTAGCTGCATAATCCAGAGGGATCGACAAGTCCACGCGCAATCAGCTCCGCCGTTGCTGGGTCACCGGCTTGTTTACCGCTCGAGTGCTGGGGAGGAGTTTGCTGTGAATGAGGTTCGAAATGGGAGCGAACATGGAACATAAATTCAGCCTTATCCGTAAAATCGGTGCGGCACATCAAACAGAAATGCCTTTCAGACGCGTACGGTTGCGGCGGCGGCACTGATCCTGGAAAATACGGCGCAGCGTGTTGCGGGGGAGCCGACGCTTCTAAATGGGATCTGTCGAAAAAGTTCGAATATAACATAATGCAACGAAGTCACACGATGAAATCTCGAGTCCGTGTAGATCAAAATTACCGAGCATGTTGCATCCATTCCTCCCTAGTAGCCAATGCTCGACCGCACAATTCGCACGCCCAACTGACTGGTTCCTCCTTCAACTTGTGTATAGTGTCTGAACGAGACTGTTGTTGTTGCTGCTGTTGCTGTTGCTGCTGCTGAGCCTGTTGTTGTTGCTGCTGTTGCTGAGCTTGTTGCTGTTGTTGATCCGTACTTGGAGTTGCTGGTGTAGAAAGCGGTGCGACCCCTGGTCTGTGTCTAAGTTTGTTCATATGAATAACTAGCTTATCTCTGCGCGCAAATGCTTTTCCTGCAAACAATAACCGCCGTGAAATTAACTGTACCTGAACAACACCGAATTGATACAACGTATGAGAGAAACAGGTTCACGATATACTTACCGCAAACTTCGCAGGAATATGGCTTCTCCCCGGTGTGAATACGCATGTGAATAACAAGTTTGTCCTTACGGGCCAGGCCTTTACCACAAACGGTGCAGGCGAACGCCTTTATTGCGGGCTCACCCGTATTAGTCGCTTTAGACGCGAATCCCGGACGAGAAGGTACATTGTTTGTCGTTCTTAACGGCTGGTTCACTGTTGGAGCTCTGCTCCCAAACTGCTGATCCATTGCACCGGGAAACGGGGGCATTACTCCGCCGGGGCGCATCGCCGCTGAGTAATCTGGAGACCTATTTTAAAGTTCAGTCGACGCTCGGTGGTGTCGTTCCCATTATGGAGGTTTAATATAGCTTCCCGGAAGATCGAAATTTACTCACCACGTTCCGATCGAGCGAAGCACCCGGACACCGTCGTCGTAGCCAAGGCCATCATCCGGTAACGTAAACGTAGGATTAGGAGTTTGAGGTGTTGCAAGTGGGCCGGGTCCTGCGAGCCTTGCCTGTGCCGCTTGTTGTGCCATGTGCTGCTGCACTGCAGCATGGGCCACCGCGTGCGCTTCCACGTAAGCTGACCGCTGCTGTTGCTGCTGGCTACCATTAGGCATCTTGTCTTTGTCCGCGCCCTATTAATCGTTTATTTGCACTTACATTCGTACCGTCTACCAGGCGTGAATTATAGCACGCGGAATAAATCAACGAACCGACGTCGTGGCGGATTATTTAAATTGCAGTATGCATTGTTGTACAACGTGCATTATAAATTTTGTCAAATCATACTATTTTTATTGTGAGTGATGTAATCAAAATTTTATTCGGGATTCTTTGTTTAGAAATCAATTGTCTACCGTTGTGTGTATTAAACGTAATTGATCTGAATATTATAATGTAATTCGCTCTAATGGGCCTCCTCTGAACCATATGATAGGTGTTTCTAATTAGTAACGTAAACATTGACTTGGTGAAATTGAATTCGTACAAAGTTTCAAAAAACAGAGCTGCATGTGATCGTTATTAAACCCTGAATTTAGGTTTCTTTTGTAGAGATTGTTAAAATTCTGTCCTACGTTATTATAAATGCGCATTTTGAAATAGATGTAGTACATGTGTATTTTTCAAAGAAATCGACGAATTGTAATATGATGACTATGCAACTCTGACCTGGAACTGGTTTCAACTGTTGCAATGATCGTTTATTTGTAATCGAGCAATACAGGAGTCACGGTTTCAGCGATATTCTCGTTTTACGATACGTTTCCAAAAATACCAGATTACATGTCAAAAAACTCAGTGAACAACGAATATAAGCAGCACGAAAAGTATAAAACTATGATCATTAAAGATACACTTAAGATTGAAAAATAAAGCCATCAAGGGGTTAAGTAGAAACTACTCCTTTCTCAGAAGTTTTTCAAACTGAAATAATATAATTTTGGGTGATACGATGGTGCAAAATAAAAATAACAGTTCGAGAACAATACCAAAGATATCTACTCCATATACGATCGCTTGCAATGTATCACTGTAGCTGAAAAATCGAAAGCAGCCTATACCAGCAAACAATATTTCGCGATATTTCTATCAACTCGCGCACAAAAGCGTAACGGTTTCAGAGCCAATATGGGAAAACGATTAATCACGGGAACAGAAGCGAACGGAGCGTGCACGAAGGCACATTCGGTGCCAAATATTATCTGTTAACGATAATCGATATTTAGTAGAAACACAGAGTACCATAGATTCGCGCAACTACGTAAAACTTGTCTGGTTTAATAAAATTTACTGTAAATGTTACGGTGAAAAATGTTAACGGTAGTAGACTGTTCTACCAACAAAATTTTTCCTGCAATCACAACCACGAAATTCAGACGGCGAAACAACCGACCGCGTATAAAAATCGTTTGTAAAACGAAAAATCGAAGACGAATTTCATACACACCATTGTGATACCTCGATAGTGTCAAAATCACGGGGTCGTTACGATTTTAAGCATACGCAAAGAAACCGTAGGAAACAAACGATAATTTCATCCACGTGACGGTTGTTCCAGACGCATCGTCGGATCCCAGGATCGTCGTATCGCCGTAGCACATCACAGATGCCTGTATCCCCGGAGACGACGACATCGAACACACATAAAAGACAGGAACTTTCGAAGGAGCCGAAAAGATCTCTCTCCACGCAGCCTGCTTCGTCAAGGTCCACCGGGAAAGAACGATGACCGAAAAGAGAGACAGCGAGCGAGGAGACGCGTGGAAGGGTAGAAGGGCCCCCGGTTAGAGGAAAGGAGACAGAGAGAAAGTGCTCAGCGTACAAAGCCAGCAGACACGATCGTTCCCACAAAAGACGGACAAAAGTTATCGGGGGCTATCTCGGTGCTCACGTACCTACACTTTGTCTGGATGAAGAAACGGAGGAAAAAACAGTAACTCCCGATCGAATTCACAGAGTCGAAGGGTCCTGATGCAATTATCACGATATCACTGACGACGTCACACAAAAACAATTGAACAGCACACGTCACTTTGTTCTCGTTCCTCCCATGCCGATCGTGGTCGTCGAATTTTAGGTAGCAAAAAGAAAATCGAGCCGACAACGACGAGGGGTTCTCGGAGCAACGGGTCTCGCGTTCGGACGCACACACCAGGGCCGAAGAGCGCGATCGTGTTCGACGCGAAGCTCACACAGCCGGCTAGTAGGATTATCCCGACGCGACGGCACGCGCGTTCTTTCTTTTCGCGACGCCACGAAAGAATCTCGCGTTTTACGGGGCAACCGGAGTGTGTCCCGTGGAGCTAGCCGCAGATTCCCGGCGCGGGAGGATGTAAGGACAAAGAGACGAAAAAACGGCTCGGTGGGAGCACGGAGGGGATAGCCGTGTGCGCGAGTGAGAGGGAGCGATGGAGGGGGTGAAGGAGAGCAGAGCGGGTAAGATGAAGACAGAGGGAAGTCGTGGTGGCGCGAGGGAAGGGAGAGAGAGAGAGAGAGTGAGAGAGAGGAAGAGAAGGAGAGAGAGGCGGCCGACCCGGTGGGAGCGAGAACGACAGACTCGGTAAGAAGGCAGAGACAGAAAGAGACGAAATAGCCGGTGACACACGAATGCAGCGCGGCGTAACGATATCGAGTGGAGGTCCCCGCGGAATGCACCGTGGCGACGGGGCCTTGGAGCGAGGGAAAAAGGGCGAACGCTGGATACACGAAGCGGATAGAAATGGAACAGCCGACCAGGGAGGTGAAATACTTCAGCCACGGCCGAGGCGTACGGGAAACGGTTCGCGTCTGTACACGTATACGCATGCACGAGGCTACGAGCAATACGAGGAAGCGGATAAATCGATGCGGCAACCGGGCGCAGGAATAGTCACTGAATGACACTCTACGGTTAGAGGGGCAAGCAGAATAGGATCGGGAGCAATGATACACGGACGAGACAGCGCGGTACAACGATATCGAATGGAGATGCTCGCGGAACGCATCGTGGCCGCCGCGACGCCGTGAGCAAGAGGGAGAAAGGCTGACGGGAGGGGTTGGGGGGGGGGAGGCAGACAAGGAAGCCCTAGAGAGACAAGTATGCGCGCGAAGAGGAGACCTTCGTGTATACCTTGCGTCTGGTGTACACAGCTACCGTGTGACTCGGCTGCCGGATACACACAATGACGGAAGAGAGCAGCGTAGCAGCAGTCGACGACGGCGTTGGCGGCGGCGGCGCTCTGCAGTGCGTCGGCCCGCTGACCTTGACACTGACATTGACTGAACGAGTGTATGTGTGTGTGAGAGAGAGAGGTACACACACACAGAGAGAGACAGACAGAGAGATGAGCAGGGGGAGGACGTGTACGTATCGTCGGATGATACGCGCGATTAGGCGAAACTAAACGCGGAGACAACACGTTAGAGAGAGACAGACAGAGAGATGAGCAGGGGGAAGACGTGTACGTATCGTCGGATGATACGCGCGATTAGGCGAAACTAAACGCGGAGACAACACGTTCGCGAAACGAGCGTCGAGAGACACGAGTAACGCGGATTCGCTTGTCCTCTCTCTTTGCTCACCCTGGAGTCTCGCGATTGAACGGATCAGCGATCAACCCGGGGTAACGAGACTTCGTCGACCGTTTACGACGTTTATTCCGAAGCCCCAGAACAGGTTTTCAGAAGATGCAGACCTGGCCTGCTCCTCGTTGCACCTGTGCCCGGGACAAGGAGATCCAAGGGGTCAACCAGTAGGGGTGGGGATCGAACGATCTTGGATTGGGGAGCGACGAGACGGGTGGAGAAAGAGAGAAGAATGGATACGAGGGCGAGAAGGATGCACTGGGTAAAAGACGAAAAAAAAGGCGGGTACGAGTGAGATGGAGAGAATGGTATACGGGTGCCCTCGAGGGGAAAGAGAAAGAGAGAGGGGACTAGGCGAGACGTCGAAGAAAAGGAGAACTGACTTTCGCTTTCTGTGCGCGACGCAGCCTAGCCGCGGAGCGTCGATCAATAGCTCCGCGACGGTTGCACACACACACGGCATGCACGTACCATACACACACACACACAACACCCTCCGACCTCAGTGCTCGCGTGATCCCTGTCTCTCTTTTGCCCTATCTACTAATCCGTGTGGTTATCCTCTATAATATACCCCCTCCAACGCTGTCTCTCCCCGCGATGAGTCGCGTGTGTGAGGGTGGAATTATTAGGATCACGCTTCGTTGGACATCGAACGGGGGTTAGAGGGACAGAGAAATCAAGGACCTCTAGCTACCGATCAGCGACGCCCCTTGTTTCTTCCGTCTTCGTTGCTCCGTAACGCGACCGCCTCGCGCCCTCCTTCTCTGCCCAACGATCTTCACCGCTTATCGGAGTGTAATACGAGCGCGGGATAGAGAGGGAGTGGATCCAACGCGAAAGAAGTCAGAATGGAGGGCCGAAGGTGGGTACAACGTGGAGCGCGTGTCGCGGTAAAGGGCTTTTTACGCCCGCTCGAAATGTGGAACTCGTGTCGGCCACCCATTCGACGCATAAAGTCACTTTAACGCGTCGTGTCGGAAATTGCCGCGCGAGTTTACGAGCTTGTAAAGAGTCTCTGGTATACTTCCTAGGACACGTACAACCGCGACTCCGGGGGATAGCCCTGGTTCCCTCGGCTATTCGTGTCCGGCTTGTATGACGATAAATTCCTCCTGCGCCGCGCGCTTCTCGCCCTCTACTCGCCGCCCCGTGCGCGCACAAGAAAGAAAAATGAGTAACCCCCGCGCGCGGGTATCGCGATACCAGCGCGCTTTATGTCAGACTTTTAATGTACCTTTATTAAGCGCGCTGTCGCCTCCATTTGTAAAGGCACTTGCTCACGGTCGTAAACCCACGTGGCCCGCGGAGTTTAAACGCGTCTGATGTCTCGTGAAATCAATTAAGAGCAAATAAACTGGGTGCCCGTAAACAGCCCCGCGGTATGAATTGCTCATCCGGCACTATATTTAGCGGGTAACGTTATGAATAATATCTCTGTCCCTCGGTTATCGAATGTTTCAATCATATCATTCAAATGGAATGCACGGTCGCTCGGAATAATTGAAGGATTTACATTCGGACCAGCTCGTAATTGCATTCCTGAGGTGGCGGCGTGAACAAGAAACATTGGAAAATTGAATTGAAAATTGAAATCATCTATTTTCGGTAGTGCGCAATATTCGATTCATTTTTAGGGTCTCTTGGATGTTGATGGTACATGGTATATCTCTTGAAGAGTTCGCATAGTTTTCATATGAAGTAGATGGATTACATTTCTGTAATTTGAACCAGAAATTTTTTAACTCGAGTAACTAAAGTATATTCTATTGATAATAACTAGAAAAATTAGTAGCAATTTCTTTCTTTATCGTAAAACGTATCGTGAACATGATCTATCCTGAATCTGATTTAAATTTATTACATGCCTGACATTACGTTGTAGAAGTAGTAATAGTAAAATCCCACATATGTATCCAAATTATCTCTTTATAAATAAACTTCGTAAGAGTTTTATATCATTTTATAGTTTCCTGTCTGAAATCTGTTAGAAGATACACTAATTTCCCAAAATAAAAACGATAGATCAGAAGCAGTATAGAAATGGAAATTATTGTATTACATGTATACTATCACTTTCATTGCTAATTTATGTTAAAATTGTCATTATGAATATAAAGGACAGAAGTTTCGCGATCATTAAAATTTCCAACTCTGATGAGTTACACCGCTGTCAACTTTTGTTTAATATTCGTGCTATTTATCATTAATTTCAAAACAATACAATTTAACAACGATAACTCGTGAGTATTCATGAATGACGAAGTACTTTTGAATTATTGCAGTATACACCTATTCGATACATACAGTACCATATAAATTTTCAATGGATCGATAACATATTGGTTAAAAGTTTTTAAACGAAATAAAATCTTCATTATTCTATATTTCGTAGCATAATTTGTAATAATTATGAAAATCAAGTTTATAAACGAAAATATAAAATGCAATGTTGCATTGCAAAAAGAAACACGTTATAAAAACAGTTTAATTTCATTGTAAGATTTTATTTTATAATATATTATTTTTTATATTATTCAATAATGAATTAACTGGACCCATAGTGTGTATGTCCTGTTTAATTCAAAATGATATTGAACTAACTAAAAAAGTTGATGAAAAATCTCGTAAGACACACTTTATATGTTCTTTATATATTTTCTACAATTGTATGGAGATATTAGTCGCCAGAAACTTCGAAATAATTGTAAACTGTACATTCGTATAACCACAAAGTAACCATACAGTACGTGTAAACACGACTTCACGTTTAATATTCGAAATTATGTACAAAAGTCAATGAATTCAAGTTTGAACGGCAGGAAATGAGATTAAACTCTATAATTTTTTTCTTGCCGATTTAACAGATCTCACTGTTTACATTACGATTTTTCTGAAATTATATACACAAACTACCCGCACAAGCATTATAACTTTTATATACAAACATAAGATCAGCCATAAACATTTTTTAATCTGCGAAAACAAATATTTTTTTAATGCTCAACTTATGGAAGAAATGTACTACAAGTTGATTTAAATGTATAAAATGTATAAATAACTATATGATGTATAAATAACTATAAAAATGTAGTACAGAAATAATACATGTATATCAAAGCAATACTAATTGCACCATGTACTACAAGACACTTTTTAACTTTTTCAGAATGGAAGTTGTAGACAAATTTAAAACTTTCACATCTTTTTTTACATTTACTTGATATCGATACTACGTCGATAAAACATTGTATGCACTTTATTTTATCCGCTCTATTATCTCCTTTAAAAAGATCCTTTTTTAGACACCCTCTATAAAATATACAGAAGAATTTAGAATAACTATTTTTTATCTTCTAAAAAACCGACGAAAACCTACTAAAATTCGTATGCCTTTAAAAAATCGAATAACAATAATATACTTTGTAATAATTTATCAAACCTATCACTTATAAAAAAAACTGATACTTCAACTCGCAGCTTATCACTGAATCGCGTATTTTATGAATTAGGTAACATATTCAAGTGTGCAAGACACTGTCAAATAGAACAATTGATGGAACTTGGTGGTACGTCTAATTTATTTTTGCCCTATCAAAATCCTTCACGAAGATAAAATTCGATTTAGTAAAAATAAAATATGTAAAATATAAAAGGCAAGAAATATTGAAATTGACGAAGATAAATCTGTTTTATATTTTTTTATGAACCTCTACTAAAGACTGCAAAAATATTTTGACAAAGATACGCGTTACCGATTCAAATTAACTCACCTGATTCACTGATGCAGCGAGGTGCTTCAAACTATCCGCGTAATTTTTTAAGACAGTGTCCGTAGTCATACAGCTCACACGGAACTCGTAGAACATATCTAGTTTATACACACATCTCTGGCAGATATTTCTCGGTAATCCGTCCTCTTTAGTTATCTGCAATTGGTTAACTGTTTCAATGAACCGTTCACAACAAAAATCGGAATATAATCTAATTCTTTAATATTCTTAATATGTCAAACTCAGTATTTGATTTCCAATTGTTGATTACCATTATTATCATTGTTACCATTAATACATTGGGGTCGTTGCAAGTTGAATTGTTCATAAACCCACGAATTTCCGTCAATTATTGCTATTTTGCTTAATATTTCTTTTTCTTTTCGTAAATAAATAGTAGGTGTGAGTGACTACTATTTCCACATTACTCAGTTTCATTGGTTAATAATAAAGTAAAAACAAAAGAAAGAGTAGCTGCTGATACGAATTTAAGTATTCAAGAAACTTTCATCTCGTGGTAAGTATATGTGTGTAATGCTTGCGTTCGTAACCATGTTTGCACAAAGCCTATCGACGTCCACAGCTAAAACTCTACTAATAGATTTAACATAGCTCCAAAAAATAATTTCTTTTATCATTTTGAAATATAATGTTTATTATGTTTATTGTCTTATTACTAAGATAATATTCGACCTCTCGTAATCGAAAATATGATTTGTAATTATTTAACAATTTTATTTTTATAAAATCATTGTGGTGAAGTAGGTACTTAAAAAACGTAATAAACTGTAAAAATTATGTTACAGATTTTGCAATAAGTACAGAAATAGTTTCTTTTATTAAATTGACAGAAACACCACAAAGGAATTTTTATAATCCGTATTAAATCTTAAACTTACGTTTAAATTTTCAAAAATGGCATGTATGGTACATTAGATCTAAAATGTGAAAGGTACGAGATAATTTTACATTTTTGTAAAGGATAATGGCTAAAATTGAGTGCTTCATATGTAAACAATAAATGCTTAATATAGAAATAAAAAATGAACATAATTTAACTTTTCTAATTCTTTATTCACAATACTCTGTTTCTTGTGTTCGCATATACTTAAATGAAATCTTTACGTGTAAATTAATGAGGATATTAAACCTGACCAAAAGGGTTAATATTATATAATGAAAAATACATGATAAACACAGTCTTTGCATAAGAGTATAAAAATATGAATCTTCCAGAAAGTTATAACCTAATTAAATTACATTGATATCAAAAACGACACCTGTGTATACATTAGAGCTACTTAAAAGAATAACGTAACGTAATAACCACAAAATATAATTCCAATGTTCCTTACTGAATCTTTATAGAAAATCTATACCATATTTCCAGTTTCAATAGAATTCATAAACATTTTAATATATCATAAAGTCTAATTTCTAACTAATCTTCAAACAAACGTTGCACATATAGCAATATAAAAAATATGTATTTAGCTTAGTACAGATCAGTTAACTGCTGGAATAAAACTTAATAAAGACAGACTACTACAGCAATTATTTATTTATTATTAAATTTAAACAAATTTAAACTAAAGGACATTCTTTGAAGTACAACAATGAAAGTATTTGGCTCACCACAGTAGGAATGCAGGAACGTATTTTGAAAAGTAACTGCCGCTGCTCGCCTTCCTTGTCAAAAATTTGAAGCTGGTGGCTGCTCTTCAATGAACAAAGTCTGCACAACTCGGCGAAATTGAAGTCTTCGTGCATAGCCATTATTTCGAATCGCGGTTAAACACAAGCGTCCAGCGATTGGACAGGTTATGTCGTCCGTGACCGTTCTTCCCGTAATTTTTACGCCTATTACAGATCACCGTTGACGCAACACAAGCCTATGATAAGTATGAATAAATCAGTGAATGAAAATTGCTTCGGTATCGCGGATTTTAACAAATACAAACTTCTAATAAAACTAAATTAAGAGTCATTTGAGCAAGACATTTGAGTCTTCTCTGTCGCTGCTGTTGGCCAGCATGCACGATGCCAGTCTCCACATTGTCCGACACGAAACCACCTACGGGGGGGAGAATGAATTAGTGAAGGGTTGTATCTGCCGGTAAAAAAATTAAAAGCATTGAAAAAGAATTTCACATACGTAATGTACATACAGTAAAAGGACAGAAGAGATACATACATACAGAATAACCATCCAGTACATTTTTCTATTCCATGGTTCAAGGTCTACGTAGCCACCATTTTAATGTCAATACACGACGTGACCGATGAAGAACGAATTCTGAGCATTATTAGCACAAATAGAGCATTATATATTTTATTCAAAATACGTGTACAGTAGACATTCGTTTCCCGCACTAGTCGGGGCTGCAGCGGGCTACAATTCCAGGACCGTGCAGGAAGCAAACGCCAGTTACCTGACCGCTTTCCCCAGCACTCGGCTGTTCAGTCGTGCGACGCAGCTACATTTAGGGTGGGCTGGATATGTGCACTTTACAGTTACATTAATTATCTCCGTTATTTTTAGAGATATCAGAAAAGTTTATTCACAGAAGTTGTTCAGTATGAAGAGGGCTATTATTTAGCAGTAACAATTTTTTCGTAGGTGAAATATCTTGTAAGTTTTCAAAGTTAATTATGTTATTTTTATTAATGATATTGAAATATTATGGAATAAAATACTTTTATTACATAAATCGATTCTTCCAAACGGCGCGGGAAACGAATGTCTAGTGTATCTAATGGTACGTTTAGAGTTTAGACCAAACGAATGAATGCTTGTTTGCCTTTCACTCTATTTACTGTACACCACAGACGAAGTATAGGAATCGAAGAATAGTTTGCGCGGAATATTAGTATTTCTTAACAATTTATATTTTAAAAAATTGCTCGTAATTTGCTCCCTCGGAATCTAAAATTGCTCCTATCGCAACTATTATATTTAATGAGATATTCGCAAAAGAAAAAGCATAAACTTGTTGTTTACAAAATAGGTAGTAAGTGACCTTTTTACACAAATATTATGGCACCAAAAAATTGCTCCTGATTTGTTTTATAATAATCAATAGTCAGATATCTTAATAACAACTTATTAACGAGGAGCAAACGAAATATTGTTGTTGCATAGAGGTTAGGTATTACGTCATATCGTAGGCGCCCTAGTGACGTCATCTAGCGAAGAACAGACGAACTACATATGTGCTCGCCAAAAATTGGCGAAATGAACACGTGATAAGTAATAAACATCTTTTCGATTTTAGTAAAAGTGTTATGTATTCCACAAACATGTAAATTCCATTTAGTGGTCAAACCGAGGTACGAAACCGTCTCGTATATCTTGTAAACGTAAAATGTAATTATATGACACTGTCAAGGAGATTGTTTCCGATTTGCAACTTTGTTACACGTGTCGCCCTATGACTGTACAGTTGAGGTGTTCTCAATTTATCACGTTGTTTATTTTGTTAAAATTTTAAGAAACCAATTGCTCATTAAAAATTGCACGAAAATTCAGGACAATTGAGTTCTCTGTTAGCAATTTTGTTACATTTCCCATCAGAAACTTACTATTTATTCAGTTTTTGGGAACATCGCTTGTTCTATTTACCTCTACAGCTAGTTGAAATAGTCCAGCTGTCGTCAATTCCAATGTTATTCCAAATTTCAAGGTCTTATATTACTAATTAATCTTTCGTAAAAATGACCGTATCTTTACGAAATATTCAAAGTTATTTTTGTTTCAAAGTCACTTATGGAAACATCCGCACCCCTCTATGGTTGAAACTGCGAAATACATTTACATATGTGTCTTGACCGAAGTGTTGGAAAATTGCTGTTTTCCACACCAAGTTTATGGGACCCTCGCCCTGTCTCAAAGTCGTATCAGGTATACATATATGTAGACCCTTCAAGGAAGTCTTGCAATTAGTGGGCAAAAACATCTCAGTTTAGTCTGTGAGAAAACAAAATTCATTAGTCGTAGGGTACATTGGAATGTAAGTTTTCGAAAAGTGGTCAAACAAAGGCACGAAACATATGGCTCTGACATTTTTTATGATCATCGCAGTGCTGCAAAATGAAATTTCTGAAAAATCATCAGTGCTCGTTGAGCTAACTGCAGGTATGCGCAAAAAAAAAAGATTGTACCGGCGTGTAATATGGTACTGAATATTCTATTTTGTTAAACTAGAAATTGAAGTAGGGCGAGGAGGACAGATACACCCACCCACCGAACCACCAATAACGATGTCCCTAAGATAACCGAATCAACCCATCGCGAGCAGTCAAAGACGGCCTAAGGGTCATTCGTCTTGCACAAGTTGAAGTGACAAGACGTGATATGAATTCGCTCCCATCGAAGTGTACGTGATCTTTACTTTTCACATCTAATCATTTATACAAACTATTAGTGCCTTCGTTAGTTCTTTATCGTTATTTTCGTTTAATATTTATTCAATTTCGAGTAAATTATCATAAATTAATTCGATATTACGGGACAAAGTGATCGGTTTTCACGACTTTTTTTGTCTACGCTGTAGTATTTACGCATTTCTGATCTTATTTACAATCTTTTACGGCGCACATCGAGTACAATAGTTATTTATTTGTAACGAAACCATTGGTAATTTAATGTAATTGCTTGGTTTAAACGCGTTTATTTTCTGTTTCAGAGCACCGGTTGGAAAGGACGTGCCTCCCCCCCACACTATGGCAGTAAGAACACTCCAAAAAATTGGTGAAACACTGTAATATGTTGTAACAAATAGGTGATCATCTACTATATATTTTTATTTTATCGTGTTTTTATTATGTCTCGCTGTAAGCATGATCGCGATTTTTTTATTTATTGTGCAAAGATCGAACGAGAATTCTTCTGGGAAGTATGTACAGTGAATTAAACTGCGCAATTGAAGAATTCAAAATGGCTACCGTGGCCATTAGAAAATTTGAATATTACTTTTAAACATTTAAATTCGAAATATTCGTAATTTCCTGTGTCACGGTCGCGAAATTGTTTTAATATTAATTATTTCACCTGTCTATCTTTATGGAACCATCGTGTTTGCATTTGCATACGGTTTCGGTTGTAAGTTTGATTATATGTATAGATACTGCGTAATTCATCGTGCTCATCGAAGCACTGGTAAATAACGAAACTTTGATATTTGTAATGATTTTCTGAATATTTACAAAAATCGGGACGTGGTTTAGATACAGAAAATGAACGTGCTTATAGCTCTAACAATAAATGTCTTTAATATAATAGATAAATATTAAATATATACGTATAACTGATTTAATATATTTATATTGAATTGAATAATTATTCTGTAATATTTAATAATGTTTAAACTCGTGTGAATTATTGAAAGGCAATATTTTCTCGACAAACACTTGGTAGGATACAGAAACTAAAACAGTAGGCAGGCACAAGTGTGCCTTGTATTTCCCATGTACTTTTCTTTCAGAGAATTTTGTGGCCGCGCGCAATGCGGTCGAATAGAGCCAGTGTTTATATCGTACAAGATTTTTTGTTTATGCGGAGCGAACTGGTTCCATATAGAATCTCACCGGAAATGTTAGGTTTTCCCGAAATTAGAGTCAATATTTATTGCGTGTTATCAATTACTGTCAGAGTGTCGGGACACTTTTTGCTTTTTGAGTCGCGAAAGTAGAGTCAGTGCATCACTGAAGAAAATATGTTTGCGCAGCTCTGTTTACAGAGGATGTAAGTATCTTTATATTTTATTACTTACACTATTCAATTGAAACAGCTAGAATTTTGAGAGGAGGTTGTAACGATTTCTGTTCCTTTTTTATCAGATTCATCAGGCGCTGTACCAACGACCATTGCAGAGGATGTCCTCGGGCGAAGCTCCACCAGCCAAGACTGTAAGCATCTTTAAATTTTTTTACTTACATTATTCAATCGAAACAGCTCAAATGTTGAGAAGAGATTGTGACGCATTTTTTTCATTTTTTTTCCAGATTCCTAGAGTCTTAGACGGAGCCCTTCTGTCATCGGGTGAGTCGCATGCTTTTATTCCTCCAGTCCCCAATCATGTCGTAGGACGATTGGTCCAAAGCGACACGGGTGACTGGTTGTATACGTGCTTAATATTGCGAGTACAGTGAACGCGGATATGCAATCATATCCGCGAGTAGTGACATCGATCTGTTGTATTTCTTAGATTGGCTAGGGTCTTCTTGTACGCCGCGTTTGATATTAGTAATACAATTCAGAAATATTTGCTATTGAAAGTATATTTATAAACGTATATTAATTTAATATGAAATATTGATCTTTGGTATTTTGAAGCCAGAAGTCCTATTGTTTAAACAGTTGATATTTTTTTATTAATCGAGAACGTGGTACTATGTTATTTAGTTGACTAAAGAATGCAGTAACTTGATGATAATTGGTAGAATAGTTTCAATGTAATGGTTTCGATATTGTCATTCGGATACAGTCGTCTAGTATCGTTTATGAAAATGAGCAGTAAGATTTTATAAAGTAATACTTGTAATAATACTAGTATTACGTTTTAAAATTTTACCGTCCATTTTCATAAACGATATCAGACGACTGTATCAGAATGACGATATCCAAAAGATTACATTGCAATTATTCTACTAATGTCTTCATCAATCAAGACGATTACATAAAAATTATTCGAGTGTTGTTTACAAGTACGGTCAGTAGATTCAAAAATAATACTGAACTCGTTAATGTATGAAATAAATGTCTACGAATATAGAATCAAAATAACGAAAACCACGCCGGTATGTTTAAAGTAGAGGGGAAAACATTGTGGTGCCTTCTTAGATGTGCATGTTACATACAGCAGTTAGCGCAATACCACGAGACACGGCAGCACGTTTCAAAAATTGAAACCAGTGTTTCAGGTTTCATTCGTATTTCCAAATCCCTATAAAGTATCGGTCCATAAAACGAAGACGTGTTGAATTGCGTTGTCTGTGCATCGGTATGCACACCCTCGTGAAAAACCGCGTGTTATGGAATAATTTAACACGGGTGCACACGTGTTGAATTATTGCACGATCATTGTCGTGGCCGGTCGTTTTGATACCAATAGCAAAGAATTTCATCCAATTTTACGTACACACGGGTAATATGTATATCGAAACGTGCTGGCGTGTACTCACGACCACTTTAATGGAGTGTGAGCGTTAAATGCAGGGAAGGTACTACTGTGTTTGACCAGCATGTATACAGTATTCCTTAAACATATCGGTATGGTAGACGTACATGTATGTACTCAGAAGAAATGAGTATTTGTAAAGTCTGTCCCTTAGAAAGGACAGGGTTGTTCATCTACCAGAGGTGTTCATCTACCACTTGCGAGCAGCATTCTTCCCTTCCGGAGGTACCTCAATTACGGGACTCTGGTTGACTCGTTTGAGTCAATCTGAGGTCGGTAGTCGAGGAAACCCACGAGGGGAGGCTTGTAATTGCTTGTAGCTCGTGGGTGGCATTTGGACACCTCTGGTAGTAGAGTCAATTTTTATGATTGTTAGTATATAAAATTGTAGATAATAATAGTATAGAAATTTGTTAGATAATCAAAATTTGTTTCATCCGTTAGTGTGTTATTAATTATTTTGAACAGTTTGGTAGAGAAATAAGAAAATTAATATAATGTAAATTTATTTATTATTTAAATGCAGTGTTAGTAAAGTATGCAAACGTGCATTGCATATTGGTCAGTGATTCTTCATGATTATTCTTATTTGTATTACAGATATAAATGAATATTTGTTTTCATTTATATCTTTAATACAAGTATGAATATTCCAGAAGCATCACTGACCAATATATAATGCTTGTTTGTATATTTTCCTAATGAAACTGTGAAAAATTATATCAAATACATACTACCACGTTACTCGAAGACTCGAAGATATAAAAATTAAGTAGCGCATTTTGATACACAGATTGAGCTTGAACGTAACGTTCTAGACAAATATGATATTGGAGACCATGTACAAGAAGGCATTTCGTGACGGGTAGACCTCTGAGTCAAGGTGACGTGTCTGTGATACTTATGTATATTATGATATACATATGTCTTACATTGGCTTTGACGACGGGATCGCCCGAGGATTGTTCAATACATCTAGAGTCATGTATCTTACTGCAGAATCTTGCTTAGAGTCTTGACAATTAAATTATACAATATTAACAAATAATTAATATTTGCTTTTCAATTTTTATTAATATAAAGTTGAGTCACTTTCATTCCAAGAGAATATTAGCCCGTTAGAAGAGAATGAACTGTGTAATATGTTTTTTAGTTAGGATTTTCAGGATATTGATTCCGTGTTCGTTGCTCAAACCCTTTCACGTGCCCAGGTGCTACTTGATTGAGTGAGAACAACGGGGAACGGTGACTTGATTTCATATAAATAACATGTGTATGCGGCTGGCAAAGTTAGCTTACCGTGCACGACGTATTTTCCACTTGTGTGTGTGTGTGGTTAGGCAGTGGAATTGCGTCGGTTTCCATTTCTATCAATTAACAATTCATCTGTAATTGTACCTTGGAATAATTTTCCACAATTTCCGGTATCACTCGTACATAGTCCTTTGTTTTATACAATGTCTATAATAAAATGTCCATGGAATATGTACTGATTTCGAGTCTCTCGTTATCATGCGAGAAATTTAACACGTGATCGATTTAAAGTATACCAAATATACGTACTTATAGTACTTAGAGAATTTTTCTATTTTCGCAATGGATGCTAGTCTTTGCCAGTCGATTTCAGGAAAATGGTACGTACCTATGTAGAGTGTGCAAGTTGTGTATTGCGCTCGGGTGTCGGAGGCGTCCCGGGACGTCCTCCCTAGGTGTAAGGCTAACTTGCACCCGGTCGTATGCTTGAGAACCGTGGAGTGTTTGTGTTGGTGAGAATCTGTTTTTTGCCATTTCTTTTTAAATATGTATAGGGTTAGGTAGGCAGGTAGCATACTTTCTTGTGTATGAATGCACGATTAGATTGTAAGTAGGTAGGGGCCGGGCCAGGCTATCACAGTCTCTAATCGGGTAGGCTCCCCCATTTCGCGTGATAGTCCTGCTATCGGGATCAATTGTAGCGTCGATTCGAAACTGGTCCAGACGGAGCATGCTGTCTGCTTCTGGTTTCGATTTCGATTCTTCAAATTGGTCAAATAGTTTTGTCGCGGTCGCGGTCGGAAGGATAGGAACGTCGAAACGAACGACCTGCTCGATTGCACTCATGGTACGATCGTACAAGACTCCTGCGAGTTCGGTTGATCGTCCACAACCGAGCAGTTTCAGGATTTCAGATTCGGGCGGACCGCCGAAGAAAAGAAGTGGCCCAACACAAACTGTGTATCGAAGAGGGCGGTTTGAATTAGTGTTGCGGATGAGAATATATCGCGGGTTGCATTAGTCTTGTAAATTGTTAATATTGATCTTCCTAATTGCTTGGAGAATAGTGTTGCGAATGATGAAATCGTGTATGTATTAAAATCATTTTTATATTTACAGAGTAGTGTTACGATAAAGACTGTGCGCGATTGCGTATACTTGTTATTTGAATGAAAGTCTTGTTGGATCAATTAAAGATCATAACTTTAATTGATCCATATAGTTCTTGTCTTTTGTTGAATTAGTGTTGCGAGATGAATTAATCGGATTTGGCTTAGTGTTGCGATCCATGGAACGCCCAAAACTATGCTGGAACCACTATCAGAACCACAAAGCAGCAGCTGATATTGCTGTAAAGAGTGGTTCACCGCAGCCCACAATGGTTGCACCGATTTCTTCAACCTAAAGTTAGTGTTGCGTATTATGAGATGAAGGTGCACGGGAGTTTTTTCATTTTTATATTTATTAAATTAGCGTGGCGAGCAAAGAAAGTACCACTCGCGTTTTTGAGAATCTTTTGAACATAAATTGACATTAAATGATTAGTGTTGCGAGTGATAAGCGCCCTACGTGGCTGCTCTCGGGAGTTTTTTCATATTATATTCAATTATTTAGTGTTGCGTAAAGAAATATAATATAACTGTCCACTCACGGGTTCTCCTTTTAATAAAATGAAATGTAAAGAGTGGACATTTCAGCGCCCTATTGTGGCTGTTATTTTTCTGTTTCTGTATCATTTGCCAAGTGTTTGCGTTGGAAATATTGCTGAAAAAAGTGTTCAATTTTTTTTATTAATAACAGAAACATTCTTTTGTAATTTCTTGAACCACTAATATCTGCTACGTACACATTGAAGATTATATGTATATTTTGTAGCCGATACGATGTTTCTCGTTAACGAAACCGTTCGCTACGCGATACTTTGTCGCGGAAGTCGACCGTTGGCGGCTGTGTCGTCATCGACGCTCGCTCGAAACCGAGCGTCGTATTCGTTCTTTGTTGCGTCGATGACCGTCCCTTTCTCGAGTCAGTCGTCGATGGTCGTCGAGTGGATGCTATGGAGATCGGACACGCAGTGTTAAATAAATAACCATTTACGATTCACACCGTCTCTCCTCTTTTTACCTACAAAATTCAGAAGTGGGATTATCGAACATTTGGTGCAGTGCGCGACTTTATGTTTTAACCGCGACTGTTGTTTACGTGCTATCGACTGCCATATCTTGAAGATTTTGTTTTGAGAGACTTTGCGACAAGTCGGTGTGCGCGTGTCCGAAAGATTTAGACATTAGACGATTAATCTCGTGGCTCAGTTATTGTGTAAGTTTTGTGTTAAACTTTAGATAAAAATTTTTGTTCCCTGGACGTAAGTGTTTACATCAAGATGGCGAGCGGACAAAGGGGAAGATTGCAAGACCTGTCGAATAACCAGTTAAAGGAACTATTACGTGATCGCGATCTCGCAGTATCTGGCGGTAAGGCCGAACTGATTGCACGTTTGTTGCAAGCCGATCCGGATTGTGAGAATTCTCTTCCGTCGAGTGCGGGAACGGTCGAGAATGCGGCACCCACGAGTGGCCCGACGGTCGCACCTTCTGGGATCACCTGGGATTCGCAAATCTGTATGCAGATGATGGAGATGATGCGTGCGGAGATGCGAGCCATGCATTGCGAGCTAGAGGCACAACGCGAACAGAAACGAGAGGGACAGCGCGAGCGAAATTTACAACGCGATCGAGAGGCGCAGTCTACACAATTCGCTGAGAGTGTTAACGGTGCGCTTTCAATGCACCCGACGATCGGAATCAAAACGATTGCTGATCTTTTGGTTGAATTTGCGGCTGGACCTGAAGATGATTTTGGTAACTGGAGACAGCAATTGGAATTATTGCGAGACACTTACCGTTTGGACGACAATAGCGCCAGAATTTTTATGAGCTTACGTTTGCGTGGAAAGGCTGCGAAATGGTTTCATTCAAAGCCCAATCACTTGAGAATGAGGGTTGCGGATCTCCTCAACGAGCTGCAGCGCGTTTTCGACAATCGGCCGAATAAAGCAGCATTGCGTAAGGAGTTCGAGAAAAGATCGTGGCACAAAGACGAATCTTTTGGCGAGTATTATTTCGACAAGGTTACGTTGGCGAACAAAGTCACCATCGACCAGGAAGAACTAGTCGATTTCATAATTGACGGAATCCCGGATGTCCGATTGAGAGGTCAGGCAAGAACGCATCGCTTCAAGAAACCCGAAGATTTGTTGGACGCGTATAGAAATATTTCATTTTCCGAGCCAACCAGAAACGATCGAGACCGCAGGGAGGTGAGGAAACCGTGGATTTTGAGGACGACGCAGACGGAAGAAGCACCTATACGTACGAGGGAAGTACCAGCCAGTGCAAGGGAAACGCCAGTACGCGCGAGGGAGGCTCGTTGTTATAATTGCAGCGAGACGGGCCACACAAAAAGAGACTGTCCGCGACCACAACGCGAATGGGGCTCTTGTTTCCGTTGCGGCAGTGTGGAGCATCGTGCAAGAAATTGCACACAGGATACCGCGACGAGGAGCACACACAGGCCGGGGACGTCTACAACGGTGGAAACGTCTACGCGCCTGATTCAGCCGACTTCTCCTGGTGTCCCATTTTTGGTACCAATATCGTTTGTTATGCCCGGAGGTAACGGAGAAAATACGAAGTTTGTTATTAGCGCTATGATCGATTCAGGATCTCCCGTAAGTTTAATTAAGTCAAATTTATTGCCCGCCGGTTTATATTCCACAAACTCGCGAGATGAGCATTCGTATCAGGGACTAAACTATTCTCCGGTAAAAGTTTTGGGCGTGTTCGAAAGAATGGTCGCTGTCAATGACGTTTCGATGGAAATAAAATTTTTTGTAGTTCCGGATCAAACAATGCCGTGCGCTGCTATTCTCGGACGAGATTATATATTATCGCCATTAATAAATATTACTTTAGGTCGTCGATTTAAGATTGAAAAAGCTAGTTCGGTTTGCCCTGAAAGCGAAGCCGATAATTTTGTTGGTCAAATTATGCAAATCGAGTATGTTAAAGAACCCGAGAGTATAGCCGAAACATTAAATATTGATCCCGAAATAGACTTCGAGACGTCATTGAGGATCAAACGAATTTTTCACGACGAGATGTGCGCGCCGCGCGATTTGAATTTTTCACTGAATGATATCGAACTCGTGATCACAGTCAAGAGTGATCAGCCGGTATGTTTCCGTCCGCGACGTTTAGCCTTCGCCGAAAAGGAACAGTTGCGTAAAATTTTAGACGATTTGTGCGAACAGAAAATCATACGACCGAGTAATTCGCCGTACGCAAGTCCTATTGTGTTGGTACGGAAAAAGAATGGAGAATTGCGTCTCTGTATCGATTACAGAGAATTGAATAAAATTACGATCAAAGACAATTTCCCGGCGCCTTTTATCGACGATTGTTTGGATCAGCTGCGGGGTAGAAAGTATTTTTCGAAACTCGATTTAAAAAACGGTTTTCATCACGTGAAGGTTTCCGAATCGTGTATTAAATATACATCTTTTGTTACCCCCTTGGGACAATTTGAATACCTTAGAATGCCTTTTGGGCTTACTAACGCCCCACGTGTTTTCCAGAGGTATATTAATTCTATATTCTCCGACTTAGTGTAAGAGAATGACCGAATAAGAAGGTGGAATTGGTATTTCTGTGCGAAGAAGGTCACGCACGTAGCATGCACTGGTAGTCAAAGCAGACCGACGAGTGTTGTTATGACTGGGACCGACAACGATAATCTGACCCAGGTCACTCTGAAAGTCACCGTCGGGTGACGATCGAAAAACGAATAGACAGGCACACTTTGTCGTTGGTCGTCGGCTGTGACGGTCATAAACCAGCTCTCAATTCTTAGGCAGGATTATCGATATATACATATGAGTGTATTATTTTTCTAACAATTGTTGCGTCTGGACTATGTCTCCGGCGCTTTCTCACGTTGGAGAAATCGCGCGGTGCCTGGAGTTGGCTCGGCACGTGGTAGTGGTGGGAAATTACCCCGAGACGTTCGGCATTGGATTTTTACAGGAAAAACCCCGAGGACAGGGGGTGGAAACGGGCATCTTAAAAAGGCTCGAACTGAAGAGCTCGGGGCCAGTTTTACACAATCAGTTGTCGAGTCACCTCGTTACATTACCAGGCATTCGAACGTGTACTTTAAGCATTTGTTCACAGATCAGTAAAGATTTTTAAGATCAAGAAATAGCATAAACCTTTATTTCTCCCTACACCATCGCAGTCCCTATCCCAGGATAAATTCCTTAAATGGATTGACCAAAACAGGGGACGAACAAAATTTAGTCGTGATAAATTCGCAACAAAATTGGTGACAGCGGTGGGATCTCTTAATCGATGGTGTTGGGGCATTGTGAAGTGCCAAAGTTAAGTTGATAATTGAGTCGTGAACAATATCGGGAAAACTGTTAATTACAAACAATTGAAGTGAGTGACTCATAATAAACATTATAAATATTGTGAGCATCCGAAATTAATTCGTGGCTAGTGAGTGAAATTAGATCGAAGGAAAATGCCCATACAACATACACCGGCTCGAGGAAGCCCGGAATCACCAATGCAGGTGTCCTTGGATGAACAACGGAGACAACTGGAGGACATGCAGCAAGTTTTGGCAGACCAAATGGCGCAATTGCAAATCCAGCAGCAACAACTTGTGGCGCAACAGGAGCAGTTGTCCCAACGGCAAGCATTTTTCTTCCAACAACTACAACCTCAAGAACAACCTCAAGAACAACCTCAAGAACAACCTCAAGAGCAACCTCAACAACAACCTCAATATCAACCTCAACAACAACAACAACCGCAGCCAGGACCGCAATCGTTTCGTGCCGAGGGTGAGGACATTCGTTCCACGCGTCCTGCGCAAACCCCTAATGTAAGTAGCACCTACTATGTGACATTGTATAAAGACGCTCTGGATGCGATTCCTGAATACGATGGAAGGAACATGGATTTTGTATGCTTCTCTGAGGGTTGCGAGGAAGCACTAGACATGATTCCGCCGCATTACGAAGAGAATTTTGTAAAGTCCTTGCGAAATAAATTAAGGGGTGACGCACGTCGGTCGATTATTGGAATGCGGTTCAGTGGGGTGAGTGATTTGGTTGAGCATTTACGGTCCATATATGCACCGCATGAAACAATATATGAGGCATTACGGAAATTATCAAGCGTTTTTCAAAAATCCAATGAGGAAGTAATAGTATTTGCTAATAGAGTTCGCGAATTAGGAAAGCGTATATTAGACGCGTTTAAACGGGAATATGGCACAATTTCGCAAATATTTGTAAAAAATACGGAAGAAAATTTAAGAAAATGTTTTTTACGTGGTTTGAAATCGGAAATATCGGTGCGAATGTCATCGGAATACTCCGAAATATTAAATGAATTAATTAGTAGGGCAATTATTATAGAAAAAGAAAATGATGCCATTTCGCAGATGCGTGGTTCGTCGGAAGGTAGATTGGAGAAACGCGTAGGCCATAGTACCGTACATAAAGTTCAATTCGAACAAGTCGTTTGTCAACTTTGTGATAAATTCGGGCACATCGCAACTGAATGCTGGTCGTATGAAACTGTTCGTTCGAAGGGAAATAATAATAGTCACAATAAGTCTCCTCAATCGTCTAATGAGCCTGATTATAAGCAAATTGTAGATGCTTTGTTGAACGCACAGCAACAAATTCCATTTTCGCAAAATAGAAATAATCATCGGGGAAATAATAATAATGAATATCGTAGGTTCCAAGAAAATCGTGATAATAACCCAAGAGATACAAAATTTTGTAGATATTGTAGGAAACCGGGACACAACATCGAGGAATGTAGGAAAATTACGTACAATAGTAACAGGGAAAGTAACAGTTTTAGTTCGCAAAAATTGCAGAATAGGTCGGGAAACTTGAGAAATTCCACGATGACGAGCGCTCCTCGTGGAAATCTAACCGCGCGCTCAGCTCGCCCAATTGTAGGGGAAGTCATCGAATCAGAGATAGTAGAGTAAATCTTACGCAAACCGGTTATGTACCCATTATCCGGATGTCCAGTGTTGGTTTAGTTTCTCCTTCAGACTTCATGGTGGATAGCGGATCGGGTCCGAATCTATTAAAAAAACGTTCCATGCACCCCGCTGTACAAGTGAATAAGAATGAAATCCTTCGTCTCACTGGAATTACTCCTCAGCATGTGTTTACCCAAGGTCAAGTAGTTTTGGAAATTCTAGGGCATCGCGTACCTTTCCATTTGGTACATAATAATTTTCCCATAAGACAGGAAGGAATTATTGGATCTGATTTTCTTATGCAACATAAAGCCCAGATAAATTATGAAGAGAAATGTTTACAATGGAACAAGAAGTCCATTCCTTTTCAACCTAGGGAGCATATTGTAATTCCGGCAAGATCACGAACACAAGCTTACGTCAGAATAGTAAATCCGGAGATCGGACAAGGGTATATACCGCGGTTGAAGGTGCAGGGAATCAGAGGGGTGTACCTCGGCGACGCGTTAGTAACGGTAGTTAATGAGAAAGCTTACCTTGACGTTATTAATACAAATAATCATGATATAGAATTAATTGTACCTAACATTAAAATTCGGGAGGTCTCTTACATAGACGAAATTTCTTCGAATCTAATTCCTGAAAATTCTAAAAGAGGAGAGATTTTTGTTAATTCTTATTCATTAAATCCTCTAAATAAAAAGAAGAATTTTCCAAAATGTTCAGAAGAAAAGGAACTACCACTTGAGTGTTCGGAGGATTCGTCAATTAAATCGGCTAATAAGAGTCCTTGTTTTCAAATAAATAAATTCGACGTTGGACGTGCTAATAGGGTTGAAAAATTATTAAGGTTAGACCATCTAAATTCAGAGGAACGACAAAGTGTGAGTCAGCTAAAATAATCATGATATAGAATTAATTGTACCTAACATTAAAATTCGGGAGGTCTCTTACATAGACGAAATTTCTTCGAATCTAATTCCTGAAAATTCTAAAAGAGGAGAGATTTTTGTTAATTCTTATTCATTAAATCCTCTAAATAAAAAGAAGAATTTTCCAAAATGTTCAGAAGAAAAGGAACTACCACTTGAGTGTTCGGAGGATTCGTCAATTAAATCGGCTAATAAGAGTCCTTGTTTTCAAATAAATAAATTCGACGTTGGACGTGCTAATAGGGTTGAAAAATTATTAAGGTTAGACCATCTAAATTCAGAGGAACGACAAAGTGTGAGTCAGCTAATTCGGGAGTATTCTGACTGTTTCCACGTACCTGACGAACCTATAGGATTTACAACTATGACTGAACATCGAATACCGACGACTGACAACCGACCAATAAACAGAAGACAGTACCGTTTTCCGCCTGTACACAAAAATGAAATTGAACGACAAGTTAAGGAACTATTAGAAACCGGAGTAATAAAGCCATCGGAATCACCTTATAACACTCCCATCTGGATTGTTCCGAAAAAACCGGATAGTCAAGGAAATAAGCGTTGGAGGATGGTATTAGATTTTCGAGCGTTAAATGAAAAAACTGTAAGTGACGCGTATCCATTACCCAATATAGTCGAGATTCTAGATCAATTGGGAGGTGCCAAGTATTTTTCTGTATTTGATTTGGCGTCAGGTTTTCACCAGATTCGTATGCACCCTGAAGATAGTCAGAAAACCGCATTTACAACGCCCCATGGTCATTATGAATTTGAAAGGATGCCATTCGGCTTAAAAAACGCACCAGCAACCTTTCAAAGATTGATGGACAGGGTCTTAACAGGTTTGCAAGGAAACGAGGTATTTGTGTATTTAGATGATATAGTAATATATTCTTCCTCGTTACGTGAACATGAAATTAAATTTCGTAAATTGATGGAAAGGCTACGACACGCAAAATTAAAACTGCAACCAGATAAGTGTCAATTTCTGCGAAAGGAAGTCTGTTACCTGGGTCATATAATCGGCGCGGATGGCGTTCAACCTGATCCGGCAAAAGTATCGGCCGTTAAAAATTTTCCAATTCCGGAAAATTCAAAAAATATCAAACAATTTCTTGGACTGGCGGGTTATTATCGTCGATTTATTCGAAACTTTTCTAAAATCTCAAAACCCTTAACTAATTTGTTGAAGAAAGATGTATCTTTCCAGTGGACTGAAAATCAACAAGAATCATTTGAAATTTTACGCGATGAATTATGTAAAGAGCCCGTATTACAGTATCCTGATTTTGATAAACCCTTTTTATTAACGACCGATGCATCTTTAGGATAGCCACGGGTGTGTCTTTGAAATAAATGTGCACCAACTAACAAGAATAAAGTTTTTATGAAAGGTGAAACGTGAAGGTTTTAAATGTTGAATATACTTTCGTAACTGATTCACAAAATCAGAAGATCCATCCA